ACTGTATACCTAGTGTGCTTGTAGTAGTTACTCCACCATTTTGTAAGCTAATGAACTGTGAGTCACCCATTTTATATCTTAATTTTTAATCATGTCAATTCTCAAATGGGTGTATCTCCTTAGCCTGCTGATTCCTTTTCTCTTTAAAGAAAGTGGGTGGAGAAATTAACTCTAGACGTTTGTTTGCAATAAAATAAATTCATTTTACTCTTGTTTGGGATTGTTGCCATCAAGGTCTAAAATCCCTTAAAGGCTATAAAGAGGAAGAGAATGTACGAAAGCAACGATGTTGGACAGTTTGAAACTCATTACTGTGTACATGCTGAAATCCTTGTGTTTCTTTACGGATCTAAACTGGTGGTTGCTCTGTTAGAGATCTTTCGTGTATAATCTCACAGTTTAACATGGTTATGTGTATAGGGCAAAAGTCTTTGAGTTGCGCTTGCATCGTGTAAATCCACTTAACCTATTTATTGTACAATAGTCATTAGGGAAGGAACGGGGGAAGGAACTGGACAGGGAGTAGACCGGGAAGGAGGATTGTCATGGAGTTGAACAGAGCTTCAATTTGTTTTAACTGCTATTTTGTTCAGCTTTCCGCTTCTGTACAATTGTAGTGGCAATGTTAGCTGCTAACTTCCTTGCGTTTTAATGCCGTGAGACAGGGCAGAGCTGTAACGGTTGTCAGTGGGACTGTGGCACACACGTGAGAACACGTGTCACTGCTGCCTCGGGGTGTGCTGGCCGAGCCCTGTTGGCAGTGTATGGACTAGCAGCATTAGGCTTCCCGGCGGCAGCCTAGAGCTAGTCGGTGTAGCGTGCTTGAAACTTTCCTCAAATGTTAGTCAATTTCTAGTAGTCTTCAGAAGTAAAAGTTGTGTTGCTCTTCTAGCCTTTATAGCAGATGACATTGCATATTGACATTAAACATGAACAGCACCACCTCCTTGTTAATATTGCTTTAAATCATCCCTTTACTTTGAATGGGAAAAATGTAAGTTGTCTTTAAAGAAACACTTTAATGAACTAGAAATTTGGGGAATTGAAACCCTAAATCTGTTTTGCTGAAATGGCATTTTCTTCAGACGTGCAAAAAAAAAGTTTAGTGTAATTAAAGTCCATCTCCCTTCTACCCTCCTCACAAGAACTAACACTTTGTATGGAGTGCTGATCCTTTGCTTATTTTGGTACTCGATAAAATGATATAGTCTTAAACTGAAATATAAGAGCCTACACTTACTATGTGGTCGTAAAGCTTGTATTTCAATTCAAAAGTCTGGCATGTTTTGTTTTCAGTTTTGTGATGTATGGTGTTAAAAACAAAAAGCCACACGTGAAGTGCTGCAACTGTCACACTCAAAAGAGTATCTTGTTTCTGCTAAAAATACTCCTGTAAGACAAAAGCTGTTTTGGTAAGTTCAGCACTCTCTGTGCTGCCTCTGTTCTGAGGAACAGAATTCAAACAAGTTTTGGCGCACTGGGGCACGTGTAGGGCACAGAGGGGATAGAAAAGTCCCAAATATGTCCCACTCGTGCTTTGTCACAGTAGAGTGGAGACTAGCACTTGCATGAGCCTGTGGGTACAGCCTGGGTCTTGCCCACAGAGCCTCTCCCTCAGCGTAGCTCTGATTATTCCTAGAGAAGGGATTGATTTTTGCCATGTGAAAGCTGTAGAAAAGCCGCTACCTAGAAAGTCCCTAATAAAAAAAATTGCAGTTTGCATTTCAAAAGGGCAATATGAAGCTTAGCTGGTGGCTACAGAAAGGTGAGGAAGGCACAGCTGTACATTGCCAAAATGAGAGGGCTGAGCCATCTGTCACACTGAGTAATTTCTTGCAGCTTATAAGGGCTTGTTTACATGCGGAAAAGTACTCTACTACAGCAGCTGCCTGACACTAGTGACACACCACATGGGCTCTGGGATTGTGTTTTTCCTACTGGGTTTGCTGCTTTCTAGCTGAGGTGGGTTTTTTCTACGGGAGTACAAACCTGGAGAGCCTTGGGCTCTGTGGCAGTAGGAACATGGCATGCCATGTCTGTGCAGCTATTGGCAGCAGTAACATTGGTGCTGGTGGTACTCCCCTTGCAGCCCTGTCTGCTGAAGCTGCTGCCATCTCTCCTAACAGGTCGTAGCTGCCCTGCATTGTGTGATGGGGCTGTGCACACTTGGCTGCAGATGCAAGGCAGGTCTGTACTGGGTATCTCGTGAGGAAGCTCCCATTTAAGAACAAAACATAAACTCCAGTTGTATTTTTGCCTTCGCTAGTAACAGTCGCTAGGATACACACTGTGTATGTACATGGAGGTGCTTGACGCGCTGTGATCTTGGCCAAGGCCTCTGAGAGTAAATGACTTAGTACATGAGCTCAGCTGTGGGATGTTCAGGGCCAGGCTTTGTTTCTGGGGTGCCTTAGGAGATCCCAAAGCCTGGCTCTGTTGTGAGCTGGCCCTTCCATGTGCTGCTCTGCTTCCTGCACTGCACGGCGAGTCCTCAGTAGTGCTGCCACATGTGTGTAGGAGCTCAGTGTTAAGTGGCACCTCTGTACAAGTTCCTTTGAGTTCCTACTACAGGATACTTCTTCATCAGTGAAGACACTTTTAGACACTCTGCCCAGTTTTCCTGGTAGTGGAATGAATTAAAGTAGTGTTCTAGCAATGCCACGTGAAAGTCCATACAACTTGCATTAAAAAAAGCCCTTATTCATGGAGCAAGCCACTAGTTTGGGTTTTTTTCTTAATGCCTTGCTACACTTGAGCAATGTTTTCAATAGAAATAGGTGATGAAGTCATCTTTTAAGATTAGGAAGTTTCCTTGTTCCTGACCTTTTGAAAAACTAGGCCAGTGCTTTCTAAAAGGGCAACCTCAGACTAAGCCACAAGAAATCAAACTGAGTTACAGAGAGACAGGAGGTACTTGTGACGCTTCTGCGGGTGTTTAGCTGCGGGGCTGGGCTCTCCGAAGCGAAGAAGTGCACATACGCTGCATATGTGAGCTAGTAAGTTAGAAG